AAGCGTTCGCGTGCAAAACCGAGGGTTCCGAGTTCGAGTTCTGCATACAGGTTCGTCAGTACACATTACTGAAGAGTTCCATATCAGAATGAGACGACTGTCCAATGTTTCCATGTTTTCACTAATGATCCAGCTTGAATCAACTCATAAATTCAACTGTGAAAAAATATTTTTGATTGAGATCATGAACCGATTGACGTTAAACCACCGTTGGAAACCTGGAAGCACTGGACGGTCGTTTCGTCCTAGTATAGGACTCCTCAGCAGTGCGCGTCCACGATCCCGCTCGCGGAATTCAAACCCTTCAGTCTCGTGCGCGAACGCTTAACCTACTGGACCACCGAGCCGGCCGGCATCCAACGGTGTTAATGTCTAACGTCAACCAATTCATGATCTCGCTCGCGGGATTGACTAAAGCGTTTAGGAAAAAACTACTATCCATAATACAGATAAAATAATTTATGTAAAATTGATAAATTCATTCTAACTCCTTATTTTCTAGAATTCTTTGTTCTTACATTATCTTAACATATATCTAACATTTTAGTAAAGAATATGATCATTTTCAACAATACCGAATTTAGTTTTTCTTCCTCTATAATTTCTTTTCCTTTTCATTACCTTGAAGAATAAGTTGAAAAACACTACATTTTTTTAATATTCGGTATAAATAAATAAATAAAATATTAGATACTAATCCACACAACTGTTTATCAAAGCATAAATTAGCTAAATTTCTATGTCCATCAAATAGGTTACAATTGAATGATCAATAATGATAATTTCCCATTTTGATCATTTCATTATGAAGTTATATGATTTTTATAAAAATAAATAGCTCAAGATTAATCTATTAGACATAATTCTATACAGATTTATTGGAGTAACATTGTAATACTTCAGAATGAATAAGGTTAATATCGGTTATAGTATAGAAATAATTTGTTTTACAAATTTTACATAGACAAAAGGTAAATAATTATATGACTTATAGAAGTGAGAATTTACTGCTTATCTTAAGTCTTTTCTGTTCACTTTTCATTGATCATTTAATATCTGGTAAGTTAGTAACGGTAAAACTATATGTATGTTATTGATCAAAGTTGGTGGATCAATTTGGTGAAACTGTGACATTTTATTGACTGACGTGACTGGGGCATGCTTTACAAATACTGATTACAGTACCATCTATCACGAACTATAACAGCAACTTCAGAGTGAATTAAAAGCAGGTTATGATTGGTTGGTTCGTGACCTTAATGATTGTTTGACTGACTATTAGGATGTCCATATTAGTTGGTTGACGATATTAGGTGATATTGATTAGAATCTTCAGCAGATAAGCGAACAGACTCATTCCATTGCATTCTATGAATCGTTGATTTAGATTTTTGTTCTGCCAATGTGAATAAGGATAATTTAGATCGATGTTTGTTTTTCTCAGACCCCACTTCATTTATGACCGATTAAGTGGATTATCTGATAGGTGATACTGATTCAGCTAAATATTTTTCTAATATATAACAGTTGAACTTCATTGATAATTTTTAACCAGATTGATAGTAGTTACTCCTGTAGACGTCTTCAGTAGGATTGCAAAATTAATCCCATGAATAATTAGCTAAACTGGTTATCAAAAGTAATTGTAACATTGAAACAGATATGAAGAAAAATGCAATCCGTTTGTAGCTTCTAATTGGTATGTATTAGTGACTTCACAAATGAGAGAATCTAGGCTTTTAGCTTCATTCAACACATAATATGTTCGTCTTCCAATGTCATTGGTATGTCGCTGCTTCGTTTTCGACTATATAGACTTCATGTATATCATTTACACGCCAGGATCTGAAGATCCTTTGTTTGATTTTAAAGGTGACCCAAGTTTTACATTGATGAAAAGATACAAGCATGAATTAAACAACTTATCCCTCCTTATTTGTTTCTTATTGTTCTGCAGTTGATGTCAACTCATGTTAGAAACCGTATTAAGGAGAATAAATTTCCAGTCCATTCGTTTTCTTATATTCATATAAACGGATAATTATCAAAAATACAACCACTCAACTGAATTAGACCGAAACAATATTTTCCTAAATATTCACTACTAATAATATAAAATGGAGGAAACAGGCTATCAAAATAAATATTTACTTTGTTTTCTTCAAAGTTTCAGTGGTGTTTTTTTAAATCATGCTATATTAAACGTATAATAGTAAAGGATTTTGATTCACTGCCGTTCTTCATCGTTGAATAACATTCATACTAGTTTTGGAAATATGTTTTTATCTGTAGAAGCTAGTAATAAATGTCGTTATCAATAGCCATTAAATAAACGGAAATTACACAATTAAAATGAACAATCGTGTATTTTATTATGAATTGTATTTTCTTTTTAGTAATCCGAGATCTAACTGCACACGATCGAACAATACTGATTTTAAAGAAATAAATAAGTCAGTGTTATAAGTTAATAATTGATAAGATCAAAGTACTAAGGATATTAACTCAAAAAGAATAAGTTGACTGGTCTATCTAAAAGCTAAGTTAATCCATGTAGACGTAACTTACTATCAGATGATATACTTCTTGTACAGACTAGTGCTGGATATAAATGATTATGTATGTACTCGACATATGATCTAGAAATGAACTATTTCAATTCTTAGGCCATCTGAATGTTTTTTCGAGTTAATTAAAGATCTCTTTATAAACACCTACTGCGGTTCCCCATAATTTTTCAACAGTGTTACTGAAAAAAAGATACAAAGTACATTAGTTCCTACCATTGTTCAGATTACTTAATAGGATTATAGTATGGTGATTTCAAAATACCATGGATTCAAATCGATAAATAATGTCTTGTTATTGATAATCTTAGGTGGAGTTTCCATGTTGTTTGTCAGTTTATCTTCATGAAATCACTCCTATTCTGCCTCAATTCCTATTCTTATCTAGATAACTGTTAATTAGATTATCATATAAACATAACATAAATATCAGAAATGGGTTTGTGTGGATATTATAGTAAGCTAATAGTTGAATTCATGAGTTAATTGAAGCTAAACCACTATGGAAAAACTGGAAGCACTAGATGGCGGTTTCGTCCTATTATAGGGCTCTTCAGTGGTGCACATCAACGATCCTGCCCTGCGGGATTTGAACTTATGATCTCAACTATTAAATTTACTATAATGTCCACAAAAACTCCTTCTGATAATAATCAGCATATACTCACTAGTGACTGGCTTCAAGAAGTATTTCCTGGAGTTCTAGTGAAAAGTCGTAACCAATAGAGTTCAACCGGGTCTTTTGTGAAATAGTAACTCACTGAAAACAATGGTGGACATGGGGTTTAATGTTGTGGATTGGTTGAAGTTAGAAATTAACACCGTTGGATGCCGGCTCAATAGTCTAGAGGTTAAGCGTTCGCTCATGAGATCCATAGGTTCTGTGTTCGAGTCCTGCGTGCGGGATCGTGGATGTGTACTTTTGAGGAGTCCCATACTGCGATGAAGCGGCTATCCAGTACTTAGAGTTTTTTAATGATGGCCTAGCTTTAATTGATTCATGATCTCAACTATTAAATAACATAAATATACCAATTTTATTGAAATTCAATTGACAAATGAATTTTGAGAAAAAGTTGCTTTATTTTTTAAAAGTATGTTTCAGAATCTGATTTAAAAAACGTAAAACTTGTATATTTAAGTAGTTAAAAATAATTTTTATTGATAATCACATTTGATCATTTGTAGTAATTGATTCTAATTTAATTTTTACTGGTTTTGATTACCCCGTTGTTGACATTATTGATTGGTATACGTGTATCCTATGGGAATGGGCTCGATATAGTAGTATGACATAAGTCTGTATACAACAGATGCAACGTGGCTAGCAGTGGAATCCAGGACTCCTATTTCATCCTATCTGGGACTGGTCAATTGGATGTATCTGTACCTTAGATTTTATGCTCACTCCAGGACTCAAAACTATTACTGTTCACTTCAAACGTCGACGTTATATAAAGGCAATCAGCATAGGACGTATATTTACCAACCAGGAATGTAAGCAGAGGTACAATCCAAGTTATTACCAGTTAAAATTAAAATTCATATTCGTTGTGTAGGTGAGTAAATATCTGAACTCAGTAGTTAAGTGGATAATGCGTTGATTTTCGAAGTGAAAGGTACTTGATCCCAGCCTCGGAGTAAACGATAACTCTAGAATCCAGATACATCCGACTGATACGTTCCAAATAAGGCGAATCGCACGCCCCTTGGTTCCATTAGTTGCTACATTCCATGTATTCTATACTAATGCATTTTTTAAAACTGTATTCTATTGGCAACTTCTGAGTTTTTTTAACACTTGCACCTTTGACAACTATTTTTAAGATCATAGTGTTATGAACGTTGGTATTTCAGTCATTTTTGCTTTATTTTCTATGTCAAACCGGCGAAACTCTGAAGCTTGACGGATTTGGATGAGAAAATTACTTTACCATATAAATCATTTGAAAATTGATGTTGTTTTTAATTTTTCAAAATTATTAGATTAACCCTTCTAGATGACTAAATAACTTTATTGTATGATCTTAACGAGAGCAAGAACGAAGATATTTTTGTTAAAATTTCGAGATGGTTGAGAAGATTTGTAGGTCAGGTGGATAATTTAGTTGGAGTTTTGTCTTCTGAGCTGGATAGTTTGGTCGTGAAGCTTTCATCGTTCTGAACGAAATAATCAACACAAACTTCAGGTAGAAGTGAAGTGTTCGAATTTCTCCACATGTGGTTCATAGCTTGTCCTGTAAACCTCGATGTTGATTGGTTCTTGTTGACCTTAAACCTGTCATTGTTTTGGTTGTATCTCCCATTTCCTTGTACACTAAACTTATGACACTTATAAATAATCGTTGAACTATGTATTTACTGAACTAACTTGTGGATTATGTTTGCTATTTTTATATTAATCTTAATTTTATATCTGTGTGTTTTATTTAGCTGTGGACTGTAATGGACTTAGCTAGTAAAGCTGGTGATCTTGAAGAAACACTACACTCTAGTGTAAATCATCTAGAATACATTGTTAAACATTTAGAAGATGCTCTTATTATTCGACATCGATATAAACAAAGTCGTAAAAATAACAGTTCCATTTCAATGGCACAAACATCTGTATCTAGTCCAGCTAATACAAATGAACAAATAGTAAATAAAGGTATTGTCTATTTAAAATATTTATTTTGTAATTAATTACTTTTTATTTTAGATAATTCCTGGTATGCTATACTTCCGCTTACAATAAGCAATAGATCACGTATTCCTGGTCCACGACCTTGTTCACCACAATCAAGTAGTTATCTTAATGGATTATACTTAATTATTAAAGCACTTTATGTTTTTAATTCAACTGGACAATTATTTTTGTTGGCTAGGTAATAAAAAATTTTTTGGTCTTCAGTATGCTTTTATGAATTACATGTTTTGTAATTCATTCAACTGAACTATTTTGATGTGTCCTTTTTATATCATAATGAATGAAATTCTTTTATAAAGATAGATGATTTGTAGAAACAGATCAGAAATAACAGAATAATTAGTGGGGGCCCCCAAATGCTCTGGTACGGCCGAGAGTGGGGAGAGTCCACTCTCCCTCTCCAAATGCTCTCAAATGGCAACGCGTATATAGCCTCTGTCAGGGTAGTCCTACTCACTGCCTCCTCGTGGCTGGGGTGTTGTTTACGAAATTGAGAGGACGAAAAGCGAATATCCGGCGCTTTAACCGGATTCCAAACCAATGGTGCACATGGGCCCCAGTAACCTGCGGGAACAAATAGCGTATGAACCAATCGTTGGTCACCGGCTACTATGGGATTGCATCTCCTTACGATGCTCCACTGCCTTGTGGGTCAGATCTTTGGGTCAAAGGCTCCGGATGTTGCCCCCTAAAGAAACCACCTGCTTTGTTTTGGGCACCCGAGCAGTATCACAGCCCTTACACATATCAAATGAGATCTGTGTGGCGCATATATATTTGGTGCCTCCTTGTACCAATATTTATGTGTTGAAATAAACAATAACTCATAATAAAATATTTCATATTAGTAAATGCATTTATCCTCATAAGTCATTAGCCTAATGGCATAAATAAAAACCATTACAAGCAAAGATGGATAGTGAAATGCAGGAAGTGCATTTCATCCTCATTGGGAATCGACAGTTGCACGTGCCTGTATCTCAGAGCTCATGTACACTCTGTGACTCGAAACCAGTATCGTTCACTGCAAACACCACCACGTTATCCAGTAAGCTACTGATTCCTGACAGCCACTTGCTTGTGCAATGGGTTGAAATTTAAATTCACTTGGTATTCTTTACTTGAATCTTCCCATTGATGTTTAGAACTGCAGATGATCAGTCTCCTATTGGCATATGTGCATACTGTGCGTATTGCCTCGATATTGCTTTGATTCATAGGCATTATAAGCAAAGTTGGATAGTGGCTAACATTGAAATCAACGACAAGCGTTTTATCCCATTTGGGACTTGTCAGTTGAATGTACATGCATCCCAAAGTTGATGTTCACTTTGGGACTCCAACCCAGTACCAAGTGAATTTAAAAATTACTTCAGTTTTGATGACAATCCGTTAAGATAAATTTTTATCTAATATCTATATTGAATAAAATGTCAAATAGATTATAGACAACGTAGCAGAAAAAATGCATCACCTATTCAATGTGGTTTTTCATTTGTCCAAAATACAACAAAACAATTATTTCATCTTTTAAATGTTTATTTGACCTTACAATTTTCGATATCCCTAATTCAAGCATCACAAAAATGAACCAGTTTTAATTATGCGATTGAATGATATAATTATTTAAATATTATAGATAAAACCTTTTAGTTATATAAACCATCGTACAGAGAGTAACTGGTTTATCGACAATCTAATAAAGATTTTAGCCCTTGAAGGAAAATTTAAAATTCTGTATTGAATGTAAAAACTTTCCGAAACCAGTTCACATATTTTGCTGGATTATAATTTAAAAATTTTGTTAAAGTAAAACAAAAGATTATTAATTTAAATGATTGAGATCATGAATCAGTTGAAGCTAGACTACCATGGTAAACCTGGAAGCACTGGACGGCTGTTTCGTTCTATGGTAGGACTCCTCAGCATATGCACATCCACTATCTCGATTATTAGTTTAGCTAGAATGTAGTGTAAAATTCAAATTATTTGTTATGTAACTTACATAGTTTAATTCGCTAAAGAAACTACTTTGTGATAATATCATCAGGTTAAATGATATGTAATGATATGGATTGTCATCAATGATCTCCTTTTAGTCAAAATCTATTATCTAAATCATATTCTTGTCTTCATGATTCAATAGATGTTTTTTTCTTCTCAATAACACTGCAACAAATTGTGATATTTAAGATAAATTATAATAATGATTTCTCTTTTGAGTTTTATATTTAGCAATCATTGCCTTAACAGTTAACGTGCTATTCACAAACCTACTGAGTCATGATAACTATTACATGTTCATCGGGTTCAATAAGTATACATGTTCGAAATTTCCTCCACCTTAAATATGGTTAAGTTAAAAACGTAGATAACATTGAAAGATTAACTCAAGTAACTCATAGGTAAAAAGCAAACTCACCTATTGAGTCCTCAATATCAATCTACTTAACAATAAAAAGAAAAGAAAACATTATTACTATTATTATTGATATTTGTAGGTATCATTACCAAGATTTGATTTGATAATTTCGAATAAATTGAGCATTAGGTAGTTTGTTATAAATAAAAAGTAATATATTTTTAATATCCCAATGAGTAGAAAAATTAATTTTTCTGACGTTCCGTGACTTAATGTAAGCCACTTATTCAAAGAATAAATAAATAACTAAATCAAAATTAATCCAAGTTTAAATAGTACAACGGAACAACAAGAATATTATGTGATCAATCCAAAAAAAAACAGGTCTAAACAAATCAATGTCATGTCATTTCAGTTAAGGTGATTCATAAGCGACATGTATGTAAATTTGTGTATAAGCAAGTGTGCACTGTTAAGGATGAAAAATGTGTGACCTTTATAGTGAGAAAGGTTAGAGTTTACTTTGTAAGATAATAGAGTGAATTGTTAATAATATCAGACTAAGTGGCTAAGATAGATAGTCCAAGTACGATCTATAGTAAGGTCTTCTTTTATATTGAGAGCAGTAGGATTAAGCATTATATTGAACGCTTCAGTCATTCTCCTTTCTTTGTAATTAAAGAAAACCATTTTGTAATATTTTGATATTTTTGAAATCGATTTGGTGGTCGTTGAAAATAGTGTGAACTGCTATTGCCGATTTAATTTGAAGTCTATCCAGTTCTAAGGTTTCTTTGTGTATCTAATATGTTCTTTGACACGAGTCAAGATTTCGCGAGATGACTCTCCAATATAGAAGGCACAATCTAATTTATAGACTCAGTTCTGTGTTGACATGAATAGGATTTTTTCTTTCAAGCAAACTAAAATATTTCAAAGTATGTTCATTGTTTTGTCATACACTTTAATTCTGTGTTGTTTTAAGATTCTTTGGAGTTCTTCTGTTGTGCCATGACGGTATGGTAAAACTGCAGTACCAATCCACGGCATTTCATTCGAATTATTATTATAACGCACTGAACTGTCCTGTTTTAATATACTTCTGATAATTCTTAAGAGTTCTTCTGTTGTTCCATGACGGCTTATGATTTATTCAGACCTGTTTTTTGATTGATCACGTAATATTCTTATTGTTCCGTTGTACTATTTAAACGTGGATTAATTTTAATTTGGTTATTTATTACCTGAGGAAGTCGCCTAGACTTAGTCACGATAAGTCAGAAAACCTAATTTTTCTACTCATTAGGATGTTACAAATATATTATTTCAGTAGTTGAAATCATGAGTCAATTGAAGTTAGACCACCATGGAAAACCTGGAAGCACTGAACGGCGCGCGAGACTAAGAGGTCCTGGGTTCGAATCTCGCGGGGCGGGGTAGTGGATGCGCACTGCTGAGGAGTCCCATACTAGGATGAAACGGCCGTTTAGTGCTTCCAAGTTCTCCATGGTGATATAGCCTCAATTAACTCATGATTTCAATTATTTAACTATATCATTTATTTATTTATTATTATTGATGTTATCTTTAATAATGATTGTTTGTTTGTTTTTAATTCTAATAGGTTTTTAGGTCAAACAACAATATTTTTTGGACCACAAATGTTATTTGATCTTATAATTGGTACACAATGGTATCAAAGTGGAAATTTTCCACGTATTTCATTTTGTGATTTAGATATGCGAAAAATGGGAAAAAATTTTCATAGATATACATTACAATGTGTATTGAGTATTAATATGTTTAATGAAAAAATTTTCATTTTTCTTTGGTTCTGGTTTATTGGTATCACTTTAATAAATATACACAGCTTCTTACGTTGGTGTTGTAGGTAGGTATTTTTAAATCTAATTATATAATTGATCTATTTATTTATAGTTTATTTCATTTTGAAATTCCCTCCTTTTTTATTCTATATCTCACTTACTAATAGATTACATTTGTTTATCTGAATTATTATGTGTTTAATCATTATGGACTAGTCGGTTTTACGGTTTAAGTGTAGTTTCACTAGTTGTTATATGATCAATTACTTGAATAAGAGTTTAGAATTTTTACGTATCATATTACAAAATTGAATATGAATCCCTTTTACTTTATTCGATAATTATTCATGTTTATGATGACTTAACAATTGCTCTTCCATTTGTTAGATGGATGAATGGATAAGATTTACATAAAAATGGCATTATATAGGCTAAGTTTACACTTTTAATGAGTGCTGTACTCTGATTGTAATAAGAATTTTAAACATTATTTTTCGAGGTCCTAAACATCAGTAAGAAGATTGAAACAACTAATACAAAAATAAATTAAAACTTCACAAGCTAGTGGCTATCTGGACTCAGTACGTAAGTGAACAATGCAATGGCGTTTAAAGCGAACGGTACTGAGTTTGAGTCTTGGAGTAAAGATCAACTCTGGAATGCATGTTCATCCAGTTGACGAATTCTATGTGGGATAAAACGTGCGTCCCGAATTCGATTGTTAGTCACAATCCATTTCTACGTATCTTGTTTTATGTTGTAAGTCGAAAACCAACTGATTTGAAAAACTGGTAAAAAAATAATTTAAATTTATTATTATCCCGACATTTTATGTTTCAAAAATAATTACAATAATTTCCTAGTCAGTTTGATGTAATTACATAAACAGTGAAAATGAGATGTTCTTAAAAAAATCAAAAGGTACATACACACTAATCATAGTAGTGTCGGTTACTATGCTTAGCCTATATAGCTTATTATAGCTTCTGGACATGCCAATTTATCCAGTCTTCTTGAGTCACGTTTTGACCTTGTTAATTATTCACTTATCAATCCTGAGTGTTTTTATATGAGCATATGTGTGTGTACACTTCCTTTCCTATTCATCACATGTCTGTAACCTATTTTTATCTGGCTATAATTATTGATTAAGGCTTGACTAAATGGAGTTATCTCACATGCCTTCTTCACCGCGCAACCTTTTGTTTCGCTTCTCTTTCTCTTCTTAGCTCCATTCTCTACGATTCTTTGATTGTCTGTTCCGATCAACAAGTGTACAAAATGTACGTATTCAAACATCCATTCCCGTATCTGACTTGTTTAATTCCGTTATTCACCAATGCAAGTAAAGTTGATAATTTTATAGGAGGATTGACGATACATATATATGACAATAGTAACTAGAAACGATCAAACTGGAGTCAGATATAGGGGCTACTAAAGTGATGAGTCCGTCGATAGTATCGTCCGATCTAGTTGATGTCTAAATGAAGAGCCCCACTTAATCGCAAAGATATGACTGTTAAACCTTTCACAGCAAAAAAACATTTTAATTTTATTATACGGATAATATTATAAACACGAAATCAGTTCACGAGACAACAAGTCAAATGGATTTTTTAGCATTTAATCATCAATTCAACGAATATATATGTCAGTATTGGGTTGTAGAGATTGTCGAGTTCAAACTGATATCATGAATGGATCAATGTTAGACCACCCTGGAAAACATGGAAGCACTGGATGACCGTTTCTTCCTCAGCTGTGCGAACCCACGATCCAGCATATGAGGCTCGAACCTAGGACCTTCAGTCTCACACATGAACACTTAAACTTTAGACCACTGAGCAGGCATCTAACGACATCTAACTTCAATCAATCCACAATATTGCGCGATCATTCTTCATTGTCTTCGGTGAGTAACTACCTCATACTTGACACAGTTGAGCTCCACTGATCACGGTTTCTCAATAGAAATCTGTGAATTATCTCTCTAAGCTAGTCACTAATGAGCATATGGTAATTATTAGTATTGAGTTGTGGAGATTGTTGAGTTTCAATTGAGATCATGAACCGATTGTATATATGTATATATACTTTAGGAATAAACAGAACTGTTCACTAATTAGTCACTGAGTAGTAATCATTGTCAAACTGATCGAAGCACTTACACTTATGGTCTCATTCTAATTTGATTTATAGGATTTAGTCAGTATTAATAAGTAGATAAACATGCCACTGATTACTATTCGGTATCTAGTCCGTCTTCCAGAAAATGATTTGTAACTTAGTCAAAGTATCATCGTATAATGCAGGCAAGTTAGTCACTTTAAACATCATACAGTTTTGTAACGTAAAATATCAGTATCGGGTTGTGGAGATTATTAAGTTTTAGATTGAGATTATGAACCGACTGATGTTAGACCATCGATGGAAACCTGGAAACACTGGACGGCCGTTTCGTCCTATTAAGGGACTTTTCAGAGGTGCACATCCACGATCCCGCTTGCAGGTATCAAACCCAGGGCCTTCAGTCTCGCGGAATCGTGGATGCGCACTGCTTCAATGGTGGTCTAACATCAGTCAGTTCATTATTTGAATCAATAACATATAATAATTTATTAGATTTGTATAGATTATATCTGCTTGGATAGAAAAAAATCGAGATAAATGAGAATCAACAACAATGAAAACCGGATAATAAAAAGTTAAAGTATACAAAATAAAATATGTTTGATTCAAAGAAACAAAAACACAATCTATCTATTCAATGGCTTTAACATTGAAACATTTATATTTACATTGTTTAAATTGACTTGACATTCTACATTCAATGATATTGATAATTAACATTCAGAACTGTAATACAATTATAGACCACTATTTATATTTATTCACTTAGATCTTGCTATTAATTCTTTGTTTCAACTCGATTCCATTCATATTGTTTTTCTATATAATATGTTTTGTTATTGTTAAAATCTTGTTTCCGTTTAGATCAACATTTCAAAGTAGTCGAGTATGTTTTATTAGAAGTTTATTATTTAATAAAATCTCAATGAAGATAAACAATAATAATAATAATAAATCAGACTATTCATCAAATAATACTAATTCAAATCTAACACAAAATTCTGATTATCAGTCGACAAGTCAACAATCAACAACAATACAATTAGCTGATTCATTATCTTCTGAATGTTATAATGAACAACTATCAATAATAGATAAAAAAGCATCAGCATTTTTTACTGAACATATTTTAGGACAAGATGGTGTATTTGTATTACGTTTAATTGCATTAAATGTTGGTCAATATATTGCATCAAAAATAGCTTGTCTTATTTGGGATCATTACAGACTTGTAAATACTACATCAAAATATACACGTACAATAAAAAGAACACAAGAAACATCAACGACGAAAACGACGATAATGACCACCACCACCACCACAACAACAACAGCAGCAAAATCAAAAACAACACATACTTTAACTAGTAGTATTAAACAATTATCGAATATTGTTCAAACTCCACCTATTCCTGAAAGAAAAGATAAAATTAAACATAATAAAGAAATAAATCAATCAACATCTACTTTAAATGAATTAGATAATATTATAAGAATTAGAACAATCAATGTATCTAATACAATTGGACAATATTCACAAAGTTTACCATCACAATCATCTATATATAGTTTAAGAAATTCTATTAATAATCCCTATGATCATTCTTCACATTCTGATAGAAATTCTTCAAATAATTCAAGAATTCAAAATTTAAATCAAACAAATAATTTTGTTTAAAAATATATGCTACTTATAAGTAACTTTCTGTATTTTATTATATACATATAAGTTTATGAACAAACGTACATAGAAAACACTAACAGAATATCTCTATGGGTTTTATTATTGTGATATTTCAATTACATAATTTCTTATATCTATTATTTAAATAATCATTTATTTTCCTATTCATTAAATATGCGTAATATTCTTGAAGTTATTCAGTTTGATTGTTATTTTTGTCAGAATAAGAGTTTATGGGAATTATAGTAATTTAATAGTTGAATTCATGAGTCGATTTAAGGTAAATCACCTTGAAAAACCTGAAAACACTAGACATTGGTTTTGTTTCAATATGAGACATCATTGGATACCGGGTCAGTGGTTTAGAGTTTAAGCATTCGTACATGAAACACAAGATTCTGGGTTTGAATTCTACTTGCAAGATTGTGGATGCTCATTGACGGGGAGTTCAATAATTAGGACGGAATGGTGATCCAGTGCTTTCAGGTTTTATAGGGTAGTCTAGACTAAATCAACTCATAAAATAATTTCTTGAATTAATTAACATTAGATTTTTGTGACATTTTGTTGTTGTTTTTTTTTGTAAAATGATTCATATGTACTGAAGAATAAATCATTTTACCTGGTAAATATGAAAATAATATCACTTAATAACAATAATGGAGAAATAAAGAAAAAATAAAATAGTTCAGAGGATAAATCACTTTTTGATTATTTCATTAACGAAGATTTACAAACGTAAATATGTATATATTTTTAATTTCTTACTTACGCCTGTTACCCCTCACGGAAGAGCATAGACTGCTCACCAGCGTTCTCTATTCTTCCCAGTTCCATTCCAGTTACTATTCATCCTTTGATATCTGCTTCCAACTCCCGGTGCAATGTGTTATTTGGCCTTTCTTTTTCGCGTTTCCTTTCAGTATTCTAATTTAGCGCTTGCCTCATGATATAGTTTAATGATTTCCTCAATGTGTATCCTATCCACCTCCAACTTCTTTTCCCAATTTCCTCCTCAGCTGGAAGTTGGTTTGTTCTCTCCCACAGTAGGTTGTCACTGATGGTATATAGTTAACACCGGATATTGAGTATCTTGTGTAGACAGTTGTTTATAAATACTTGTACCTTTTTAATGATGGTTGTGGTAGTTATCGAAGTTTCAGCTCCGTACATTAGAACTGCCTTAATATTCGTATTGAAGATTCTGATATTGGTTGACAATTACTTTGAGTTACATATGTTCGATAATACTTTTACTACTGATATGGATTTCTATATATAATTCATTCTATGTAGGACAACTAAGAAAAATCAAAAAATATCAAACAGGTACTTTATCGTAGTGTATGACTTTTCATTTGAACATATTCAGTGCATATCACAACTGGGTCCTGTATTCAGTTCTTAGTTGAATCATGAGTAGACACTGTTAAGGAGTTTCATTGTGGCATAAAAGAACTATCTTATACATCCTGGTTTTCATTAGTTATCTGGCTAAAATCAATACTTGATGTGAAATATAATATATTTGTTAGTGACTGTAGCATCTGGCCGTCAGTGTTTTTTATGCCTAACAAGGAGGTACAAAGTTACAGATGATGTATGACAAAAACGTTTGAAATACATTATAAACAATAATTTATCGAATATGATAAAAGGTGATAATAGGCTTTTTAAAAAATAGTGTATTATTCTGGCTAATAAATTAAAGATGAGATTGTCATAGTGTGGTGTGTGCTACTTATGTAGACATAAGTAGTATATGACGTGAGCACTGAACAGAATGTCTGGTGGCAGAGAGATAAGAAGATCGAACAATAAAGAATGAAGACAGAAGGCAATTTGTATGAAAATGCAAGAACAAGGGGATTCTGAGTGATTTGAGACAATTGATGAACAATTCGCAAATTAACGATTCAATATATGGTTGTTTGATTTTACTAACTAGTTCTGTAATTGGAGTTAAATGTATTAGATTGTCCCCACTAATGTTTTATTCACTACAATAGTCTATGAATAACAAAGCTTGGGCAACATGCCGTAGAAACCCGATGAAGAATAATAATAATGAGAATAGAATGAACAGTATAATAACAAATGTATGTAATAGATAGTCAGCTTAAGATTTTCTCGGTTACCTCAAATAATATTCTACAAACTAGAAATTTCATTACTCCAATTATGCACTGAGCCATATTAACTTACGTCATAACATTTGATCAAACTGTACATAATCTCTTATTCATTGATATCAACAACCATTATTCTTCTTAATATTCGACTAATAAAATGTATTATATATCATTTAATTAACTGACAAGTCAGTTGACAGCTCAGTCAAATACCTTATGATACTTTATGTATTATAGTAACTAATTAATATCACAAAACAAAACATGACAATTAGACGAATGTTATGTTTGTATATACACAGATAAGTGAAAGTGTCAATTGTGTGACAATTTTTGCTTTTTATAGTTGAGATCATGAATCAATTGAAGCTAGATCCCCATAGAAAACCTGGAAGCACTGGACGGCCGTTTCATCCTAGTATGGGACTCCTCAGCAGTTCACTTCCACATTCCCGTCTCGCGGGATTCGGACCCAGGACCTATCGGTCTCGGGCGCAAACGCTTAAACTCCAGATCCCTGAGCCGGCATCCAACTTCAACCAATCCACGAAATTGAACGACACATCCACTACTGTCTTCAGTTAGTTACTATCTCACAACAGATCTTGTTGAACTCCACTGGTCATTGCTTCTCACTAGAACTCCAGGATATACTTCTTGAAGTCAGTCACCAGTGAGCATATATTGATTGGTATCAGAATAGATTTTCGTGGATATTATAATAATTTTAATAGTTGAGATCATGAATCAATTAAAGCCGGATCACTATAGAAAACCTGGAAGTACTGGATGGCTGTTTCATCCTATTGTGGGACTCCTTGCTTCATTTCCTTAAATAGTAATGTTGTCTATGGACATAGAAGTACACAAACACTTAAACCATCATTAATAATTGACTGTTATTAATCATTTTAAATTTTCATCAAAATAAAAATCAACTTTTGATAAACTGTTACGTAATTATGCACATGAAATTACAAGGACTATTTCAGAATATTGAAACAGTCAATTAATCTTATCGTTTGTATCATTTAAAAAGAATCCATTTTATCTCTGCCTTCTTTATGACATTATAACTGTAATAAATGCTATCTGTATAATATGAAGTATCAATTGACAAAGACAAATAGAAAATATTTCTTGTTATCTGATCATTAGACTAAAACGAAATATGTTTAATACTTTGTAAAGCTATCTTCCTACTGCTACTGTTCCAAATTAGTTAATGTAGTCTGTCATGGGAGATCAAACATAAACATATAAAAACGTACCATCATTATTTTGTAGAATATGTCATAATGTCAATTATCTAACTATTGAAAACCAAAGAATATTGATTAGTGTGCTTTACACGATCCCTAGTCGTCTACACTTTACAACAATTTTGTTAACTTTACATTATGGAGTTGACATCCAGGTTTTCACAGTATCTGCTATAACTTGTGGCCTGTGTGTCCTGTTAATGTATACATAATGATACCACCAGCCAATTAGAGAGCAGTGAACTATCGACCGGACTAATGACGCATAAAACCTGTGCGAGCAGCATAGCTTACTTATCGGTTCTGCTTCCTGCCTAGTCCAGCCTGTTAAGTCCAGAACACCAATCTCAGCATCTGCAATATGAATCGTTTATTTCAAAAACACTAAGTTTATATACCAGACAGACAGACCACATCGTACCATAAAATAGGAAATAACATTTATATAAGATTTGGTCAAATGTGGCAGTGAATGTGGGAGGTAGTATTTAATAGACAGGGCATAATTCAAGAATGGTAAATCGTATAATAATAGTTCATAGATCAAAATAAAGCTTATAATAAGAGGAATATGAATATGAATAGTTTAGTTCTTTAACAATTATACGATAAAAATATACGTATAGTATTGGTCCATAAATGGGTCTCAGAAGTAACCATTCATTATGCTTATCGGGACATATCAGTATCATGTTTAGTCAATTGAAATAAACAATATTCATTATCGCTGGTTTAGCATATACTTCTGACTGGCATAATTTAATTTCACCAGTCACAGATTCTTATCAAGATTCTTGGTTTAAAAAAAAAGAGAGAAATGATTAAAAATTTAAATACCAATAATCACTATGACAAATCTTATCAGAAGAGGTTTTGTGGAGATTTTAGAAATTTCACTGGTTGATATCATGAGTAAGTTGAAGCTAGAACACCATGGGAAACCTGGAAGCACTGGACGGCCGTTTCGTCCTAGTATGGGGCTCCTCAGCAGTGTGCATCCACGATCCCGTCCCCCGTGAGATTCGAACCCTGGACCTACCAGTCTCACGCCAGGCGCTTAATCAACTAGACCACTGAGCCGGCATCCAACTGTGTTAATGTCTAACTTCAACCAATCCACGAAGTTGCGCCACCGTCACCATTGTCTTCAGTGAGATGATATCTTATAACAGATCTGACTGAATTCCACTGGTCATGGCTTCTCACTAGAACTCCAGGAGTATCGCTTGAAGTCAGTCATTAATGAGCAGATGATTATTATCAGAAGGGGTTTTGTGGAGATTTTAATAATTTTAATAGTTAAAATCATGAGTTCCATACTAGGACAAAACGGCCGTCCATTGCTTCCAGGTTTTCAATGGTGGTCTAGCTTAAATTGAATCATGATTTCAACTATGACAAATTTATTTGAAAATGAAAAATAAAAATTCAAATCGAATATTCTTCATTTAGATGGTGAGACTATAATTTATGGACGAACTAATCAGGTATAAAATAACAGGTCTCAAATTTTGGCGCAAAATTCACTCATCCATTTGACTAAATAGGATTTTGGCATTATAGGTGATGTCAGTTCGTGATGATAATCCTAAATCTAATTTCTAAACTTAACTATCAACTGTAAATTCTAATTCTAATTCCTCACACTAATTTATAACCCTCATTTGGTCCCAGTTATTGGATGAACATTCTCAAGGTCATTTTGGTGCCGCTTAAAGGTCGTCTATAAATTATAGTCTCACCGTACACTGTAAGATAGAAGTTATGTAGACATCATAATTCATTTTAATAAATTAAAATCAAATAATGGAATAAATGACTTATTTATCGATTAAATTCATTTGAACTTTCATTATAACCAAGTAACTGACTCCGTATAAACTATGTATAAGTAACTAGATAAGTGTATTATTACTTCTCTCATTTAGAATAATATGTAATCAATATTATAGTTTCCTAATTTCCATCCAATTTAGGTTTGCTTTGAAAATGATGACATTCAACTTCAATAGTGGGACTCCTCAGCAGTCCTGGGCTCGAATCCCGTGGATGTGCACAGCTGAGGAGCCCCTAATAGGACGAAACGGCTGTCCAGTGCGTCCAGGTTTTCCATGGTGGTTTACTTCAATTGACTCATGATCTCAACCATTGAAGTTACTATAATATCCACAAAACCCCTTCTGACATTGTTTACTTTAACACAAAACTGTTGTTGGATACATTTGAACAATCTAAAACAAAATATTAGACTTGCTTTAATGAACTGAATTTTAGTTATACTGTAAGTCTGTTAACGTTTTTTTTTCGAATCTAGAAACTGATTTAGTTAAATATCAATACTTATGT